CGTTGCAAACACTCATTTTTTGCTTGTTCTCATGAGAAAATTGAAAGGAAAGGAAAAGTGAGTTAGCGGTGGTATGAAGTGCATACATACATACACCTACCAGGTGCCAGTCACTGGTTAGGAGGGGAAAGAAAATGGTAAAAATTATTAGAAATGCAGGGTTATTATCTCTTAGTTTATTCTAAGAGTAAAAATAATTCGTGGACTTCATTTTACCTCAAATCCTATTTTGATATTTTGCAAATAAGAATTACTTCCATACATTGTTTTCAATCCAACCCCACCCCTTCCCTGGGAAGTCCAGTTCCAATACAGTTTCATCAGCCCAAAAAGATGAAGTGCAAGTTATGTTTGTCTACTTGATTGAGAAGTAAATCAGCTTCGGATGGAGGGTTCTTTTCCATAAGGTGTGGAACCAAAAAGCCTGGGGCCTTTCAGTTGGCAAAGGCCAATGACATCCAATTTCTAAGGCTTCTCCCCTGTCTGCTAAAGTAACAAAGACAGGTTTCCCCACCCCCCTCTTTATGTTCTTTGAACTGAATAGTTGTCAGGTCAGACCAGGTCCTACAATCACAAGGCAAGGCAAAATCTTGCAAATCAGTTCAAATCCAAGAGATTTGTTAAACTAATTTCCCTTCAGGTTTTTTTTCTCCCTCTATACTATAGAAATATATTTAGCAGTAGGATAGAATCTTACTTCCATCTATACCCCATACCATTTTATGGATGTGAGATTTTATGTTGTGCAGGTGTGTGAGAGCAGAAGAAAAGAAATGAATTAGCAGACATTACATTACATCTCAAAATAGAGTTCCATTATTCAATGGAAACTAAATAAAATATTTACCTTAATTCAAAATTTGGAATGTCTAGCATCATTGCTAATAAAGACAATTAGTCTATTATTCTAAAACAGGATTTTTCTGCAAAATTTTTTATCTTGGTTTACTGTTAATATGGCTTAAAGAGTAGCATTAAGAATTACTTCATGTACTGCAAAGCCAGCAGAGGGAACACTGAGTACTGATTTAGTAGGGGCCACCAAATATCTGGTATTTGGGAAAAAATGTCAGTAATGGAACACTGGTTACAAAGCATATGAACTTAGGTAATGAGAACACAGAAATCTTATCTCATTATTTGGTATTCAGAGGCCTAATACATTCCAGTGTGCACATACTCAGTTGGTGAGAAAGATGACTTTAATAAAAGGCCATTTGTCACATGTTTTCTTACATTTTAAGAGGACTACTAACGTATAAGAACAAACCTACTTTAGAAGTCTAAGCATTCATATATACTATAATAATCTTATAGTCAATAGAAATTACTAATATATTTCTTCATTCTAAGAAGAACTTCATTTTTAACATCTCAGATGTCTTACAACCATGGGGATGTTAGTTTCATTGGCAGTTTTTCTCCCTTAATGGCATGTAACTATGGTATGTCTTAAAGACATCGATTAGATTTGTTGAAGTATAGAAAATACATCTAACAATAGAAATAGGCCAGTGGATATTATTTTTAGTACACACTTTAAAAACTCTGTGTGCTTTTGTGTGTGTGCGTGTGTGTGTGTGTGCACGCGTGTGCATGCTTTAAACATAAACAAAAGTACTCTGACTGCTTTGATTAACTTCCACTTTTCCCTCATCATATTCACTGGTAAACTCATAAATGGCTTTGGAAATATAATCAATTACATTGATTAAATTATTCACTCACCTTGACTGAAATATCACAAACTAGCCATACCCTCAAATTATCAGTTGGTGCAAATCCCAAAATAAACGTAGTATTTATTCTTTTTTTTTTATTCTGGTGAAAATATTGATTTTATAAATAACAGAACTCTTAGAGTAATTTTTATGTCTGATAACATGTAGGGGTGTGTTGTAGTGGGAATACTAAAGAAAATGAAAAGCGTGATGACACACCCAACTTTGTTATATGCAAAAGAGTTGCCTGGGGGCTTCCCTGGTGGCACAGTGGTTGGGAATCCGCCTGCCGATGCAGGGGACACGGGTTCGTGCCCCGGTCTGGGAAGACCCCACATGCCGCGGAGCGGCTGGATCCGTGAGCCATGGCCGCTGAGCCTGCGCGTCCGGAGCCTGTGCTCTGCAACGGGAGAGGCCACAACAGTGAGAGGCCTGCATACCGCAAAAATAAAAATAAAAAATAATAAAAAAAAAGAGGTGCCTGTGGGTTTTTTTTTGTTTTCAAGATTTGTTTCTCCTTCTAAAGGAAAAAATATATAACTTGGGTAACTACTGGTCAAAAATTATTTGCTTTTACCCACAAAAACATTCTTGCTTGTGGTTGATCCTCAGAGATCCAGTCAGATGTCTCCAAAGGGTGTTCTTTCCAGTAAAATTCTAAATCTGACAACCTGGGCCTCTTGCCAGCCTACATACTTCAAAAGTTTGACAAGATAAATAGAAATCTGCTGCCTAGCACTAGTTTGATCTGAATCTAAAGCTGACCTAATTGTGTTGGGTTAGCCCTACCTAACCACTTATCACTGGCCTGTAGAAAAACAGTTTACTATTATGGTGTTAGGGAAGACCAATTTCTACTAGAATTTTAATTTTCATACCTTGGAACAAACGTGGCTAAATTAACACGTATTCTGACTACGTAGGCACCTTTTCTTTGCCGCATTCTTCACGACACTTGTGAATTTTCTTTTCAAATCACTGGGATGACAAGGGTGCCACTGTGGTCCTTGGACGGTTCACATCCATGACCTGTAATTATTTTTTTACATTGGTGGCCATCCTCGATTTTAGCCTCTTGAACAACATGCTGCTTCTACTTTAAGGAGTGCCTCTGGAATCTGAATTATCAAGGGAAGGATAGTTGCATTCACTGAGGGCTTATTATACATCAAGCTCATTGAACCCTCACAACAACCCTATATAAAGTAGTTCCTAGTGTTCTCACCTCACAGATGAGGAAAACTGAGACTTGGTCACATCCCCAGGGTCACAGGACCAGTAAGAAGGACTAGCAGCCAGGTCTAATATAAATCCAGAGTTTCCATTCTCTTCTGCTACCAGTTACCACTGCCTTCTACAGTTTCTCTTTGCCTTGGCCTTTTAGTTCCATTTGATTGATGTAACAAACATAGGAGAATACATATATATATATATATATATATATATATATATATATATATATATATATATAGAAGAGGGGGGGGGGGGAGGAGGGTGTGGGGGAGAGAAGGATGGAGAGTGAAGCTATCTTTAATTTTGAAAATGTGGAAAACAAATATTTAGAAAGTAAAATTGATTCCCATCCTTTACTCACCATTATCACCTTACACAAAACTCTACGGAAATTCTCCCATTGAGTTAACTATGGAACACTGCCTAATATGTTCCAGTGGAAAGCTCCTCTGTTTGGGCTATCCAGGATTTATAGGGGAGTTTAAATCATTAAATGACCATAGTTAACCCTTGTTTGGTTAAGAGAGCAAGTAATTATTGCAAAAATTTCTCTTCTCTGCCTTCCACAAACAGTACCAAAATAGCTCTGAAGGGATTTACACAACACTTCAACATCTGTGTTGTACCTGGAATTGTTAAAATAACTGTGATGACAGGTGTCTAGGTACCGCTTTCTTAATGATTTTCAATATCTATTGATTTATTGTCATGGCTTTCCCTCCCCCTTTTACATCCTTGGCTTTATGAAGGAGCCGAGGAACAGATTTTGCACTAGAGGCTGATTCTTTATTCCAATACTGAAAAGAACTAATAAAAATAATCACTTGGCTTTTAAGCAGAGAGCTTCCATTTACAGTATTTCACCCTTCCCCCCCTTCTAAACCCCTTGTTATCGAACATAATGGTTAGAATACATTTCCGTCTCTCCCCTTAATAATTTCATGCATTAACATCCTCTTCACACACCACACACCACACACGCACACGCACACGCAGGCACGCACAGCAAAAAGGAAAAGAGGCAGCAGAAATCTCAGCTGTACTTCTAGCCCTTTTAAAAAGTTTGCTCTGTAAATTGGAATGAGGTCAGATTTGGAGCTTCTCATTGCACGCGGAGATTATTATTGCATCGGGTTCCAAGCCAATGGGAAGCCCAGGGGAGGGGCTTGGCTCAAGGAAGCGTTGGTTACAGCGGCTGATTGGCCGCGGCCAAGACTGGGAAAGGATAAAGAGACGCGAGGCGGAATTGGGGTCTGCTCTAAGCTGCAGCAAGGGAAACTGTGTGAGGGGAAGAGGCCTGTTTCGCTCCCGGGTCTCTAGTTCTTCCACGCTCTTTAAGAGTCTGCATTGGAGGAACTCTGCCATTACCAGCTCCCTTCTTACAGAAGGGAGGGGGAAACATACATTTATTCATGCCAGTCTGTTGCATGAAGGCTTTTTGGCTTCCTACCTTGCAACAAAATAATTGCACAAACTCCTCAGTACCGATTCCGCCCACAGAGAGTCCTGGAGCCAGAGTCTTTTCTGCTTTGCATTGTAGGAGAGGGACTAAGTGATAGAGACTATGTCGCTTTCCTGAGCTCCTGAGAGCGCTCGTGAACTGGAATCAACCGCTTTAGGGGAAGGAAAAAAAAAAAAAACAGACTTGCCTGGGAGGCGGCGAAAAACTTGCATTCGAAGCTTCAGCAACCAGCATTCAAGAAACTCCTCTCCACTTTAGCACGGTCTCCAGGACTCAGGAGCCGAGAGACAGCGCAAACTGCGGCGCGGTGAGAGAGAAGAGCGAGAGAGAGAGGGAGGGAGACTCTCCAGCCTGGGAACTATAACTCCTCTGCAAGAGGCGGAGTACTCCCGCCCCGCATCTTTTGGAGACTTTTCTCTCTTCGCCCACCTCCGCCCCGGCCGGGAGTTGAGCCGACCGCTCGGCCGCCGCGCGCGTCCCCCAACTCGGCGTGCGCTTGGCCCCGGGAGCCGGGAGGGCCCGGCGATTGCGCCGCGGCCGCCGCAAGGGTGTGAGCGCGCGTGGGCGCCCGCCGAGCCGGGGCCATGGTGCAGCAAACCAACAACGCCGAGAACACGGAAGCGCTGCTGGCCGGCGAGAGCTCGGACTCGGGCGCCGGCCTCGAGCTGGGCATCGCCTCCTCCCCCACTCCCGGCTCCACCGCTTCCACGGGCGGCAAGGCCGACGACCCGAGCTGGTGCAAGACGCCGAGCGGGCACATCAAGAGGCCCATGAACGCCTTCATGGTGTGGTCGCAGATCGAGCGGCGCAAGATTATGGAGCAGTCGCCCGACATGCACAACGCCGAGATCTCCAAGCGGCTGGGCAAACGCTGGAAACTGCTCAAAGACAGCGACAAGATCCCTTTCATTCGGGAGGCGGAGCGGCTGCGTCTCAAGCACATGGCTGACTACCCCGACTACAAGTACCGGCCCAGGAAGAAGGTGAAGTCCGGCAACGCCAACTCCGGCTCCTCGGCCGCCTCCTCCTCCAAGCTGGGGGAGAAGGGCGACAAGGTCGGTGGCAGCGGCGGGGGCGGCCACGGGGGCGGCGGCGGTGGCGGGAGCGGCAACGCGGGGGGAGGAGGCGGCGGCGCGACCGGCGGCGGCGCCAACTCCAAAACCGCACAGAAAA